CTTTTGTTAAATACACTGTCGGGGCTTGGATTGGACTGACACCCTCGTAATTTTGCATAGTCCATTGTTTGGTTTTTTGTTTAATTACAATGTAAGCACAAATACAAAAGAATCTGTCAACAGAATTCTAAGCTACGGGAAAGCATAAATTAATCAAAGTGGGTAACTTAGATTTGGAGTTGTATCACTGAAAACTTATATGAACAGCCAAATTCAACACATCATCTCAGTGCTTCAAATTTATTTATGTAGATGGCAAGTACAAGTACAAAGTCTTTGACACTGACACAAGAACACCATAGCTTTGGACAGAAAGAAGAAAAAACAAACAACACTGAGGAAACACTGAGCTTATCATCACGTATGTATCTTAAGATGGCAGCAAGTTCACTTTTGGACCTGCAACAAGATTTTACTTCACTGGTTAGCAACTTCTTGCAAAATTAACCAATGATGAAACAGTAGTAATCTAAGTTAAGGTGCCAAGTTACTATAGTACCGAGAAATGCTTCTTATAAAATGCCACTAGTTCTTTTGGATCGGTTTTTGTCTGCTTATAGGTGTCAATCTTGTTCATCTCCTGCATCACCAAATTTATGACAACAAAAAGTATTATGACAAGAACTGAAATGATAAAAGAATATGATGCAGTAGGGGCAGAAAAACACCAGTAAAAGTTAAGGCTAATTTGAAAGGAATAATAGCATTCCTGGCAAACATGAAGGCAATAACACAGAGAGCGAGAGAGAAAGTAAATGGTAGTGAACTAGATGTTAGCAGAACAATTCTATGTGCAAAGCATTTTTAACAACTTTGTTTAAGCCTGCATGTCTTCAGCAGCAGTGACAATATTAATCTCAAGGCCATTTTTTTATGGGATTTTGCATGGCTAAACAATGAGCACAGCATCAATTCTACATTTCTACAACCAAACAAGTAAACATGATGGTAGAACCAATTCTTTCATTGAAATTTAGACCATAGCAGGTAAATTTCACCAGTGGATGTAGACAGAACATCTAGCTTTCAAAAAATATACCTCAATCCATGCTGCCAGTTTAGGCCGGCCTGCTATGATGTCGTACTGAAACACCTCCAATAAGAAGATCTGGAATCTTTCAACAAAAGGAATGTAGGCAATGTCCGCCTGAAAACAACAGAATTCCATTCTTATATCTTAGCAGAGAAACTCAAATGATAAATAATAATAATATAGCTTTACTTATAATTACAACAGTGCAACCAAACTATAATTTTTTCTGAGCGATGATCATTAGTTTAAATATTTACATGTTTGAATGCATTGCACCTCAATTAAGAAACAACAACATAAAATTGCAGCACGAGGAAAGTAATTTAGCATCACTGGGAAGCCAGCTTACCAGACTAAACTGGCCAAGGAAGAATGGACCATCATCAAATTTCTGAAGAGCATTTTCTACGTAATCAAAAACAGCACCTGATGCAAGTCACAAATTGTAGTTAGTTCATATAATTAAGAAAAACACAGTCAGTAAAAGAGCAGCACATACTAACCAACTTCTTTTGCCGGGTCCCCTTTAAACGAAGTAAACACTGTCCGTACGAAGGTGTCCAGATATGATAACAACTCCTCAAAGAACTTCTTTTTCTCAGGATCCTAAAACATTTTCAAAAGATTATTTAAGTTAATTTAGACATAGGAGAGAAGCCTTCATCGAGGGCACTAAACGAGTCCAAGGATCTTACATTAGGTAAAAGAGAAGGTCCTTCAAAGTTGCTATCAACATATTTAATTAGATCAAGACTCTCCCCAATGATTTTCCCATTATGCTCCAAGGCGGGCACCTGGAAATGAAATTAACATAATAAACAATAAAGGAAAAGGGTACAATAAAATTCGAACTTCAATAGTGACCTTAAAGTTTGACCAAGACTCCAAAAGTAATGTTAGGAAATTTATCTCTAATTTCTTATTCAAAAGAGGTCTTTCGCCCCTAGCCACAACTCAATATATAATAGGAACAAATGCAATTCCATAAGTTACCCACTCAGAACAAAAAGTCCAATAAGTCCAAGCATCAAAATATTTTAACAAAATGACAGAATAGCTTGGATCAACATTTTCCATAAAGCACCATTTGAAAAAATTCTCCATGGACCTTGGAGATGCGATCCTAAACAAGATCAACTAGCTCTGCCCAATTTACAACAGATCTTCAACCTTTTTTTACTTGTTCATTATTGGAAACGCATAATAGATTATTATCTTCACATGACTCACCTTGTTTTCAGGGTAAACTTTTTCCTTGTACCAAACAGGTTTGTTTTGAAGGTTCAAAGGAACCAATTTAATCTTGTCTTGCAACCCCTGCAACTCAACAACATTCAAATCAATTATTTACATGAAACGTTGGGGAAGGAAGACTGAGGGCCGTTACAAATCAGAAAAAAAAAATTACAAAGAAAGGAGAGTGCAAACAAAATCAAGGGAACAAGACAACCTTATAATTCCTGGTGATCCACACACGCTGTGCAAAAGGGCAAGTATAACCAATATACAACCTTTAAAAGATTAAAAAAAAAAAGGTGAACTTTATCATCAGGGCAAGAAAAATAATCAAACAAAATAGCAGTAAAAAAAAAAAAAGAACCTAACGGAAAATAGTATTCTAAAGAAAACCCAGAAAAAAGAGTGTGAAACCTGGTAGTTCCATCAAAGAGAGGGGGTTGCTCAGCAGTAGCATCCAATGTCGGAGGCAAAACCTCTACAGTACTAAAATCACAAACCAAAGGAAAAGACTTAAAAAGACATGAACTTTAGAGAAACCCACAAGCCAAACTTGACAGAGAATCTTCAAAATTAAGAAGGTAGTCCAAGATTCTTACCCACTAGCCATTGCTGTTGGTGAATTCTGGAGAGTAATGCCCTTTCTTTTTTTTTTCTTTTGGTTCACAATTGTGTCCACAAGTGAAAAGGAAATAGTGGCCTTATATTGGGGTGAAAGTGATTCAAGTGATAGTCAGCAGTGACGTAAATGAGACGCACGTTTTCCTTTTCTCTTCGGATGTATTGAGCCGTTTTCGCTGTCAAGATCATGGCGGCTTATATTTTCCCATAATTTTTTTTTTAGTTTTTTTTTTTTAAGCGTTTGTGCTACAGCGGATATTTTCCCATAATCGTCTCTGTTTTTCCAGTTTTTCTTCTTGGATGAATGAATTTTATCCTCAGCCGTTTTGCTATATTTGCTACGTTACCTTTGACCAAACAGAAGATGGAGAGATCCTGAAAGTCGTCATCAACGACGGCACCCGACTGGCAACTATCTCGTACTCCTACGTTTCTTTGTAATTTTGTCCTTTTCTCTCTGTCCTATAAGCTGCCCCAATCAATATCAATGGTCAAGGTACCATACTACCATTAGACCATTAGGCTTTAAGAATTGTATGAAATTTAGTGATGAATTGTTTGTTTAGAGGCAGAAAGGCTAATTCCTGAACAACAGTAAGGAAACCAACATGATGAAAAGTTGATGTAATGATGCGGAAAAATGAAGTGTAGGTGTATTAATAGAAATAATAATTAATTAGATATTTTTTAAGAGGAAAAATATATATATATACAAATATATTGAGATTTATTTTTATATTGTTAGCAAGAATATTAAGTTATACTATTACAAACTCATAATTTATAGTAACAATTAACAATTTACATTAATAATTGTTTAAGCACTAACTTTTTCTCTTTTTTGGGTTTGTCACTAACTTACTAACACATCATGAAATATCTAATTAATTTTTAATGTCATGATTTATATGTATGTCGTGAATTTTGTTTATAATTAAATTAAATGAACATAAGTTCAAAGGTTCTAGGAGTTGCGAGGATATATTTGTCCTGATTTGATTTATTTTCATTTTATTTCTTTGCGTTTATTTTATTTTGTTTTTGTGGCCCTTGGGTCTTTAAAGGTAACGGGCTTATGACCCTCTAACATAAATGGGTAAGACAAGTAATTGTCCTTGGGCTAGTAGGCCCACAAACAACAAAAATCAGAAAAAATAACACACAATTGGATCAAACCAGACAAGTTCAAAAACAGAAACAAACAAAAAAAATTCAAGAAAATCAATCAAAAGAAAAAAAAATAAAAAGGAAAGTTCATCTCCCAAATCTCTAAAAGCTCTAAATATTATTATCAAGAAATATCTATCCAAGATCGAATCAAATCAAGGAAATTAAAATCACATATCTGCAAATCAATCAAAAAAGGGAAGTGAAAAGACCTATAAATTTCAAGCCCTCGACACTGGAACGGACACACAGAGAAGAAAACCCTAGGCAAACACAGAAGCAGATCCCCCATACAAAACCCAGCAAACCCCATGCAAAACAGAAGCAAACCGTATACAGGGACTAACGAGTTAGGAGTTATTGGGAGGCATGTTTATTGTCATGAGGTGAAATTTAAATCTAATTTCATATAATTTTAAATTTTAAAAATAAAATTTAAATAAATTTATAAATTATATATTCACATTTTCAATTGAAAAAATATGTTTAATAGATAATGAAAGATACATGCTTATATACTCAATATCCATCCAATTGTGCAACGCTAAATGTGCATCTTTTCATAAATTGAGTTCAATCGCACATGTTTTTTAACATGTACAATTGAGTTCAATTGTGCATGAATTCATCTGCCATGGCCTAGGCTTGATCATTTTTAGGAGTGTGCGACGGTCGGTTGGATCGCCCAACCGACCACCACCATTGGTTACAATAACGACGGTTGTTTTTTCTAACGCGTTGCTTCGATCGGTCTCGGCGCTAATCGGCCGGTTGTCGGGGGGGACTCTTTCCTCCTCGAACCGACCAAAAAATCGACTAAATTAATATAAAAAAAATCCATCGGCCCCGACGGCCCGCCCCGACCTCACTAATTCCCTTTTCGAGTCCGACCTAAAACTCCTACCCATCGCCGACCTAACTCCTTCCCCCCCCCGGCGAATCCCGATCTAACTCCTTCCCCCCTCCGGTGAATCCCGCCCTGATTCCCCCCCCCCCCCCCCTCCAACGAGTCCAGACCTTATTCTCCCCCCAGGCCCCCACCCTCCCGCAAGTCCGACCTGATTTCCCCCCCCTCCCGCGAGTCAAACCTGATTCCCCCCGACCCGCCCCTCACGCGAGTCCAGACCTGATCTCACCGACAGAAACCGATCTAAAAAACCGACCGAAACCGACTTTATATCATTGCGTTCGATCGGTTTAATCCCAAAAATTTTTGGTCGATTTTGACGAAAAACCGACCCGAACCAACCCATGCACACCCCTACCATTTTTAGATAGGTCTGCAAATCGTTGTCGGAATGATAATACACGGACCCGCTTAAGAATTTTGCTTCACTTTTACTAAAATAATGAGCTATAGATCAAATTCGATACCTCAAGCACCTAAGGTGACTTCAATTAAAAGTTTCCTGCTTTTATGAAACAAACAAGATTTACTGCTTTGAAGATAAATTCCTCGAGGAAAATTACGTTTTAAGCAACCTACATGCAAAAATGCATCGGTAAAATAATAATATTATTGGTAAAGTTACTGTTAAATGAAAGAATGATTCAGTAAGTATAACGGTAAGACCAATAATAAATGAAAACATGATTGAATGGCAAAAATGCATTACAGATAGAACACCCTTTAATAGTTCTTTCATTCCTCACTCCATTAAGCAACAATAAAACCTATAAATGTTAATAGATTACAAACACAGAAACTTACTCTTCTTGTTTGACATTCAACAAACAAAACGTTAAAATTATGAATCTAAAAAGATAAGGTTCTCAAGATCTGGTTGGGAGTAAGAACACAGTCATGCGGGCATAATTGAAGTTTGCTTTTTCTGCAATTCAATCAGCCACTCAGTTTTCTTCACAACAAGCATGACAAAACCTGCAGGAAGAGGTTCCTCAACCAGCTGATGCTCTGAATTACAGCATCAACTTCCCAGCGAAGAGGTCTAAAAGGATCATTCACTGAAGATATGAGAACAGCAGAATCTGACTCAAAAACAGCTTCCTTAAACAGCAGAAAGAAGGCTAATTTATTTCCTTTGAGAAGTGCCCCAGCCTTGCTTACAAGACTGGAACTGTATGAAACCACCGTGGCTGGCCCATGAATAATATTCCCTGATCTATCCCTATAAAATGGTCCAACTCCTGTCCTCGCTAAGCATGAGGTTAATGTGACGTTTTGCTTTTCTTTCACATTGTATACAATCTCTACAAATATTCAGCTAAATCTATCATGGATAAATTTAAATTGTTTAAGGCATTACTGAAAATAACTTTCTCCCATCAATGGCAATCTTTTAATTATTTATGCCTAGTGATACTAGTAACTTTTTTATAAAGCTTTCCTTGAATACATTCTTTTCACCTCACGTCAAGAACAGAAAACAAAGGAGTTACTAAATGAGCAAAAAAAGACATGGAAGAACGAGAAATAGCTATCATTGATCTTCATTGAAGGTTGAAGAGAGGTGAGAAAAAAAAGAATGCGCAGCAATTTGCATGCTTCCTTATATTGAAGAATAAACATACAGAATACAGACCCTTCACCTGCTCTTGCATTTAACTTGATTACAGCTAGTCAGCCTTCTTAGCTAAACTCAGCAGCACTCCAGCGCCAAGACTTGCCGCTACAAAACCAAGTGATGCCTCTGTAGATATATGAAATCCTGCAGAAAAGTAGTTAAAATGTTAAATGTTCTCTTTTCAGTTATTAAACTGAATCAAAGAGATTTTATATTGACTGATACAGATCCAAGGTACAAACCAAAGAAATCAAGAATCATTTTGCACCCAATGAAACCTAGAACAACTCCAATGGAAGGCTGCCAAAGCAAAGGAACAGAAAAACCAGTATAAAAGTTGTCAGAAAAAATTGGTACTTATCAACATCCAACAATAATCTATGCAAGAATTAAAAATTGCCAGCAGAATATTGTGATGAACCAATTTGTACGAGTTGCACGGATGTATTTCTCAAGGGCCCAGATAATCTTTGATTATATTATATATGAAAATTCATCACATTCTCTTCAGTATACAACATATGTTTTAAGTTCTACATGTTCACTTGCATTCACTCAAAGGCATGCATAAGAAACTCAAGACGGTAAAACTTTACCTGTAGA